AGAGTTATACTGCAGGACTGGATAGCAATTTTGGAGTACCTTCAGTAGTAACAACAGATAGAGGTTCACAATTCAATCAACACTTTTTGCCGAATTTACCCAATTGTTAGGAACGAATCACATCAAAACAACCGCCTATCACCCTTGTGCAAATGGGATGGTTGAAAGATTCCACAGACAGTTAAAAGCTTCTCTAGCTATGAATTTAAATAATGCGGACTGGACAGACAATTTACCGCTAATTCTTTTAGCGATAAGAAACACGGTGAAAGAAGATTTGCAAAGCACACCTGCAGAGGTAGTTTTCGGATCAGCATTAACATTACCTGGACAGTATTTTAATCACAAGACAGACATTTCACCTACAACAACGTTTGTAACAGAATTAAAACATAGAATGTCTCTTCTCAACTTTGCACCAACCAGGAAAACAGAGAAACAAACTTACATCCCAAACGATCTTCACACCTGCAAATATATATTTATCAGAAATGACGCAGTTAAAAACCACTCTGTCCAAATTATTCAGGACCATATCAAGTTCTGGACAGGCATGAAAAATATTTTACTGTTATGAGAAAAGAAAAGAAAGATAATATCGCTATTGATCGCATCAAACCAGCGTACATCGACGAACAACCTCATACAATACCTCCACAAACACATATTTACACAGAAAATGAGGAAGCTAAAAAACAATATACTGACATCACGCCTACAACGAAAACCGGCAGAAAAGTCCACTGGCCGAAACATTTTAAAGAATATATCACATATTGAAAAACATATGTATCTTTCACATATTTTCCAATCTGGGTGGGGAGTATTGTGCTGTTTCTTATTTTTCTACACACACATACACACAATAAAAATTAATTCACACCACGTGTATTAAAAAAATACAATTGCGCGGGAATTCATTCCTTACCATGCCCTGTGGGGTCAAAAACAAGGACGGCGCACCCAAAAGTTCGGACGTAGTGAAAAGCACACCACGTGGTCAAAAATAGGATTTATTGACCAATCAGGACTCGACATAAGAAACCCATTTCTTAATCTCCCTGGAGCCTCATCATTCTTATATAAGGAAGGTAGAAACTCTCATCAGAAGGGAGAGAGAACAGCGACAAGCTGACATCAAAGCGACACGGACAGTTTCGAGCACACACACACCGAGAGGATTCAGCAGTTCACACAACAGGCAGTATCACGTATCAGTGAACATTCTTTCACCCTCTCTTTCTCTCATCTCGCTCGCTACACATAGTCCTACCTTTCCCTCTCACATTCCCAGTTCCTTTCTTTCTCTTTTTCTTCCGCAGCTTTACGAACAATTTCATTTTTGTACAAGATAAAAAATAATTCTTTACAAAAATAAACAAAAGTTTATTTTACTTAATTTGTAGTGTATTTTCTTTTTATTATTTGTTTGAGGGACTTCTTTGCACCCTCTACAGGCTATAATATGCTGGTACCACCACAAATTTGGCAACTCAGCAAAAAAATGTATCAAGCCGTGTAATTTCAAACCACAAACAGATTTTACAACAGGCCAGAAGGCGGGAAACGCCAGCCCCAGCAGCGAGTGAAGGCGGCGTCTGCTGTTGGGGGTCAGACATCTAACCGTCTGTTCTACATTAAAGACAAGAACTCAAATGAATCATTCCTCGTTGATACGGGTGCCCAAATCAGTGTTATCCCACCCAGATCCAACTTCTCGAAAACTAAATCTCCGATTACCTTACGTGCCGCGAATGGCACACACATCCAAACCTTCGGACAATTATCTATGACCCTGGACATAGGCCTGCGAAGGAACTTCCAGTGGCTCTTTACGGTAGCAGACGTAAAATTCCCAATTCTCGGTGCCGATTTTCTAGCACACTATAAACTAATAGTTGACTTGTCGAAACGTCTATTGTCTGATAATACGACGAAGCTTAAAAATTATGGTGTTATTTCCACCCTCACTTCCACTAAGCTATGCGTCGCTGTTCCAGCGGATAATCCACTCCAAGACATCTTAGATCAATTTTCATCACTTACTTATCCGCTCATTTACTTATACAGAGACAGTCAATCACCACACTGACCACAAGATTCACACGTCAGGACCTCCAGTGTTTTCAAAGCCGCGCAGGCTAGCTCCAGACAAATACAAATTAGCGCGCGCAGAATTCCAACATATGCTGGACCTAGGAATTATACGCCCGTTGTCAAGGCCTTTTGCGTCTCCACTCCACATGGTTCCTAAGGCACTGGAGGAGGCTTGGAGACCCTTCGGTGACTACCGTAGGTTGAACGCACAGACAGTCCCTGACAAGTACCCTGTACCTAATTTGGCAGACTTTGCAATTTCTTTACAGGGAGCTAGAGTCTTTACCAAAATAGACCTACGCAAAGCATTTTACCAAATCCCCGTCGCCGAAGAAGATATTCACAAAACGGCAATCACGACTCCTTTCGGCCTATACGAGTTTCTACGAATGCCCTTCGGTTTACGAAACGCCGCGCAATCCTTTCAGCGGTTGAAGCACTTCGTGGCTTGCCTAACTCGTTCGCGTATATTGATGACTTGCTAATTGCTAGCGCCGATATGGACGATCACAAGCGCCACGTAAAACAAGTTTTTGAACGCTTGCACCATTATGGACTAAAAATAAACCCTGAAAAATGTTTATTTGCAGTGCCTAAACTTAATTTCCTCGGTTTTGTTATCGACCACACAGGAATTACACCAGTTCCAGAGAAAGTCAAAGCGATCAGTGAATTCCCACAATTTTAAAAATTGTATTCTTTTTGGAAGGGGCGGCAAAAACACTAGGTACGCCACTGCTAGAAGGGGACAAGTCAGGTCGTCAACATCAAAGAAAAACCATTTGTCATCAAGAAGAGAACATCAACAAAGAAGGCAGCCAGCCGCGGAGAGACCAAAAGTTCAAGTGAAAATTCTCCTTTTGTTGGACAACCAAAACGAATAGATTACTAAGAAATTTTTCAAAGCACGAACTGTGTGAAGTTAAAAAACTAAAAGGGTTTTTTAAAAAGAAATTACTATCTCCCCCAAAAACGCTCGTGGTACAAGTGAAAATAGGTCTTTCTGCCTTCTTGTATTGTTTTCTATTGTTGTCATTTATAAATCGTTATCTTTTCCCAAGCTGTAATTTTTTTCAATTGTTAACCTGCCTTAAGGAAATTTTTTATGCAACTTTTGTTTTTGTACCTTTTTTTTGTAATTGTTAAAATATATGTTTTTCCTTTTAAAATTCTATACAGTGGTTGTCATGTTTTGTAATTTTGCGCCTATTATGTTTTTTTGCTATTCCTAGACTAAGTTTTTGTGTTTGGCACAATAACTTGGATTTGGTAGGCAGACATTTGGATTTGGTAAGAGAAAACGAAAAATACCGTCCGAAAATGCAAGACATTTTATGACGAGTTAATTCCGGTGAAGAAAATTCTCAGTAATTTGAATTTCTAGATGATATTTGAGGCTAATAAGCTAACATAATTTGGAAAAATGTCCCTGTTTAGATTTCTGTGAACATATTGCTTCTATACGCTTCGCTTGATGTCTAACACCAGTTTTTAGTTTTTTATACTGTTGGGATCCGTCTACCCAGGTTTTTGTTGTTATCTGGGTATCGTGATTCCAAACATTTTAACAACAACAACACATCTTTTAAATTAAATGTTATTCTTTATCGGATTTCCAATTTAACAAGGTTGAGATTGCCGACACAAATGTAACAGTTAGAAAAAAGCCTTGTTACTTATATCGAGTCGATGCTCGAGAATTTCGAATATGTCAAATTAACACCGAGTGTGTCGAAACATGTTTCATGAGAATTTTTAGATATACAGCTGATCTTTTTCCTTAATCGAGATTTCAGATGTCTTAGAAGTTCTTATAAATTTTTGAACGTCATTTTTAGTTGCTGGTAGTTGAATTAAGTCACTTAGTCACACCTACCTACCTATTTTTCCGGGTTGTGATTAAATCTGTAAGATACTCTCTGGAAGTTTAATTTGTTATGTGCCGGAAAAAGTCGGGAAATAAAATTCTACATATGAATTGTACATCGGATTTCTAAATATTTTCATGAGTGGTCTGCATAATATTTCCCCGTGAATTTGGTGGAATTTTGAAGAGAATGAACGCCGTATACTGAGTACGAAATAATAATAACTCCCTTTACCCACTCTCTTCAAATTCGGATGAGATGAGGAAAAAAATTGGAGAGCGTATGTGAAATTTTCTTTGAACCAATGAAAACCTTGCCTTTATAGAGATTGGCCGGTGAGGTGAAAAGAAATTGGAATTAAATTCACAAGCCCATGTGATATTGATTTTAGACCAATGAAAATCTTGTCTCCACAGAAACTAGCCGTTGAGCCAAGAAGAAAGAAAAGAAAAATTAAATTAATAAGTGAAGAGTGTCTGAAGTCATGTTGTCGGAGTTAGCTCCTCCTTAGTTCCTTAATCCTTCACTAGGGGTTTCTCTCCCTTGGCTATAAATACTGGGTGACCTTTTGCCTCGATCTCTCTTTTTTCCTCTTAGGCTTTGGGCCGTATCTACCTCGCGTGGAGGTGAGGTAATTCTTTCTTCATTTCAGCTAATACCAATATGTGAGCTCTCACCAATACAGCGTTGCCCAAATTCTTGGAACACGCTAAGAACAATACCAATACACGTACGTACGAACATTCACAACAATACACACACATAATATTCATCACACAAACTCAATGTAACATGTGCTTGTATCTTGTTGTTAATACATATATTTGTTTGTATATAATTATCGGTCTTGTTTGTTTTCTTTGTCTTCTTTGGACTTAATTAAAGTCCAACATTCTCATGTAGTTGGACCGGCTAGCAGGAAATCTTAACCCACGTGTGTTCTTTACATTTTCACCTCACGGTCCTCTACATAGTGGTGACACCGATATTTACGATCGATCAAGATGGCAACAGAACTCCCCCATAAATGTAGCGATGCCACTCGCGAACCTCCCTACGTATAATGAACAAAACACCAAAAACTGGTTTCTTCAGTTGGAAGCGATCTTCTCTGTACGGAGGATAGCATCGCAACAATCGAAATTTACCAACATAGTGCAAGTCTTGCCACCTAAAGTGGTCGACGAAGTAGCCGACATTCTAGAAAATGTACCCGAGCAGGAGCCATATACTCGGCTAAAGGATGCGATATTAAAACGCACCGGCCGTTCGGACGAGGATCTACTCTGGGAACTTTTCACCCACGTCACCAGGGGTGACAGAACACCCTCACAGCTCCTACGCTTCATGAGAAGCCGACTGAGAAAGCATTCGATGGCCAAATCTATCCTACGCGAACTGTGGATGGACAAGCTACCCACCACAATAACGCAGATATTGGCGCCAATCGCAGAAAACACACCACTGGACCAGTTAGCAGACTCCGCCGACCGCATCGCAGCAAAGCTGGACCAAGGAGTGTGTGCCGTGCGGAACCCAGACGACACACCAGCAAAAAGCAAAGATCTGGAAGAAGCAGTAACTGACCTGCAGCATCAAGTCCTCCTAACTAAAAATAATGACCAGAAACTAATTTATATACACATGGTGTCCAAATGAAACCCATGTGTACATTCAAAATGTGGAAGTTAATTTTTAGTCGACAACCAAAAGATATTGTTAACCAGGCAACGATGCTAACCGCGGCCGAAATAAACACAGCCGATTTCTTCCACCAAGACAAACACCAAATGACAAAAAATCGTTTCTGAGTTGGAGGATTGCCCATTGTTCTGGTTAATAAATTAATGCTTGGAAAATAAATATTTAACATTTTCAACTAACAGGTCAAATTCCCGCCAACAATAAAACCATTTTTCATCATCCCTTTGAAGAGTATTTAAGCAAAGTTTCCAGACAGACAAGGCAGTAGGGAGTGACAACGGCAACAGGTCACGACGCTTGACTTAAAAGAAATTCCCTTACTCATTCACTCGTCTTCCTCACCAAGCTACGGGATACTTACACATTCCTCCTCACTTTCCCCCTTGCCTCTTCTTTCTCACACATACACACAAAGAAATCACATGTCTTTTCATTTTGAAAACAACTATAAACAAAGGACAAATATAAGAACTTTAACACTCATACATGCTAAGAAAAATTTAGTTTTACAAAACACGAAAATAAAAATATATTATATTTTTATATTTAAACACATTTTCTTTGTTGTGGGTTGATTCAAATCCGCAACAGATACGACCAGCGATTAGTAGAGCTTGAACTTGGTATGATGTTGCTCTTCCATATCTTTTCCAGTCAGACCATCGTTACTGTGGTCGTGTGCGGATTTCTGCGTTGCAAGTGTCATCTTTTGACAGGGTTGCTCCCAAGTATTTGAAACTGGACACTTCCGCCATTAATTCGCCGCCCATGCTGACGCTGGTACTGGTGTTGCTTGTGATATTCAAAATTACTTTGAATTTCTCTGGGTTGGGTTCCATTCTATATGCACTGGCTCTTTCACCAAGTTTGTTGTCCGATATATTCCACTGAAGTATTGAGGGACAACGACGAGGAAACACACGTATATATTTAAAGAAACAAAATAAGGAATTTATTTACCAATTTACACCAAGTTGCCAGTAGCTTGTTTCAGGAAAAGGAATCAAATATTTAAAGCTCGTAGTTTCGATGAACTGTCAAGAAGAGAAAATGTTCATATTAAATCATCGGACAGAAAATAATATTCTAAAATGTTTGAAACAAATTGAGACAATTCGTTTTTCACTTAAAAGTTATACGGTTGTATTCAATATGAATGAAAAGATATATTTTAAGGTATTTAGCTTCGGGGTTGAACAGAGTTCTTTGAAATTGCCCTGTTCCTTTTAGAGGCTGATAATGTATCAGCGTGTAATTTGACACTGGTGTTACTCAGACGCGTGGAGCTCTGGCTTTTTTGCCTCCTACCTCTCTCTGCCCCCCCCTCTCTCTCTGCCTTGATTCAACTTTATCTGTCTGTTTATATCAAAAAGCGATTTCACATCGGCTCGTTACTTTTTCCTCAGTTTATAAGCCGCTCCTTTTTCCATTGGTCAAAATAAATTTTCACATAGGCCCGCGAATTTGAAAACAGTGGAGAAAAGAGTTATTTTTATTTCGTATTCACCATACCACCTAGCAGACATTAGGAGACTCCCTTTGCAGACAAGGTGTGGTAATTCCTCAACTTTTTTTAGGTGTTTATATTTGGTAACCTTCTGGTAATTTCGAATTGAATTTTATTCACGTTCAAGTTCGATGCACGAAGATAAACGATTTTCATTTTGTTATTCATCAATGACGCTTATAAGCACATTGAAGGGCATTTTAAAATTTTCTTCAACAAAGGAACAAGAAGCAATAAACAAATTTGAGAAAAGACAAAAAGCAATATTTGGTAAACAAACAACTTTCATTATATTTTTGTATAAAAAGGTGTCGGAGTTACCTCCTCCTTCTGTCCTTGAACCAGCAGAGGAACAGGTCTTTTCGACCTTGACCTCTCATTCATACTCCTCACACACTCTTAACACGTCAGAGGGACCAGCAAATCCCCTTTTTAGTTAGGCTATATTACAAACCTAGTTGTAATATACTTCTAGTCATTTTTAGACCATAGTTATCTTTAGCTAACCTTGTAGTATTTTTTTATAGAGACTTTTCGGTTAGCTTAAAATAAGGATAAAAATAAGTCAGTTGTTGATACGAAATTCTGCCCACGACTGTGTCGTGTATCTCGGACGTTTTCTAGCCGAAAACGGAGAAGGTCTGACCTGCGGGTAGCATCAAGACGAGAAGAAGTCTTGGGAAAGTGTGAGGTCGACATGTTGAAATAAGATATTCCGGCCCGCATATGGGTTAAGTTAGGTTGAAGATCGGGAAGCAATTGACTCGCAAACGCTGTTCGTTTGAGACGCCAGGAAACGCGCGGGAAAAAAATTCAAATCTGTTAGGCTGATTTTATCAGCAGGAGCTATAGCAAGCGACCTTCATTCCTCCAGATTACTGCTACGTCTAGCTGTGAGAGAGAGGGAGGGGTGCAAACCGCGCGCACACACGCACGAGTGTGGAAGGAAGGGAGGAAAACTCGCGCGCGCGTAAAATGTAGATGGAATTAGTGTGTTAATTCCATACTCTCATTAACTAGGTATACAAAGCTTGTCTAACCTAACCGGGGGGGGGGGGGCTCCACAGGAAACCACCCCGATGTGACTTAGGTTGACCTAAAAGAGAAAATCAAGGCTAGCCCCGTTCAATCGAACCAAGCTCGACTCAGTCACCCACATTTCGCTGAAGAATGTCGAATGCAAGCGTTTTCTATCAGTTCTAATCTTCATATTGAGCTGATGCTCAGAGAATTCGAACAGATCCTGATGAGAAAGATAGTTGCCTCGCACTCACTGGTGAGTGGGAATTAAATTTTTTTATTTATTTACTTTGGGTGACTCACAGAAAAAATAGGCGCCAACTTTAAACTTAGTCACGATCTGAAAAAATACTTGTGCGTGGGTGTAACGCCCACTTGTGTGTTTATTGACCATTCAGAACTCGAGTTTTTGAAAATGTGTGTGTGTGGACTCTTCTAATTTTCTAACCTTCTCCAACCTTAAAAAAAGCATAATCCATATTATACGCCTACGCGCAGATAACGCTCAACCAATAAAAATGCAAAGAATCGAATCAAGCAATTCTATTGGTAGATCGCCTCCCAAAGCAAGAATTGCGCCAAAATATCTTGAGCCACTTTCGAAAACCCAAAAGGTTATAAAAGGAGAAAAGACAACCCCAGTCAGTCAGTCTAGCTCACTTTTGAGCGACTGCACGGTTCAACTCTCTGTCTCCGGACGGAGAGGAACCCGAAGGAGGCTACGCCGAAGGGCGAAGTCTCCTTCGGGGAGGTTAACTGGCCCCTGAACCCGTTTATACGGGTTCAAATGGGCTATTTTTTGGCTGAGCCTAATGGCTCGGGAATGCCCACATTAAAAAAGGCCTTGTGCCGCATGACACCCTCGTGGGTGGGTGACTGAATATCTCAGTCTAGCTCACTTTTTGAGCGACTGCACGGTTCAACTCTCTGTCTCCGGACGGAGAGGAACCCGAAGGAGGCTACGCCGAAGGGCGAAGTCTCCTTCGGGGAGGTTAGCTCGGCCCCTGAACCCGTTTATACGGGTTCAATGGGCTATTTTTTGGCTGAGCCTAATGGCTCGGGAATGCCCACATTAAAAAGGCCTTGTGCCGCATGACACCCTCGTGGGTGGGTGACTGAATATCTCAGTCTAGCTCACTTTTTGAGCGACTGCACGGTTCAACTCTCTGTCTCCGGACGGAGAGGAACCCGAAGGAGGCTGCGCCGAAGGGCGAAGTCTCCTTCGGGGAGGTTAAACCGGCCCTGAACCCGTTTATACGGGTTCAAATGGGCTATTTTTTTTGGCTGAGCCTAATGGCTCGGGAATGCCCACATTAAAAAGGCCTTGTGCCGCATGACACCCTCGTGGGTGGGTGACTGAATATCTCAGTCTAGCGAACTCGCCGATCGATTGCCTAATTAATCCACGACATTCAAAAACAGAATTTTACCGCGCATTTTTGACGAACTTCAACTGACTCACCTGAAACACTCAACGAACAACTATCGAAACTTTGAACAATATTTTTATGCACATTGATTTATCCATTACTAAAAATAAGAAATACGAATCACGAAAACAAACACAGACACGTTCAAAGGTAGACTACTTTAGCAAACTTTACCAAAAACTCTTATTATATATTTCAACACAAACACAAAATAACAAACATAACGACACAGAGACATCCAACATTTCAGCAACATATACAATTAACGCACGCAACAATACAAATATTAACCTTGTTTGTAAATATGTAATTGTATATAAAAGTTTTATTTGTTTCGATCTATAAATGTCTCTGTTTTTACTTTTGTTTGAAATCTCATGTTTGTTATATATTTGTTTGGGACAGGGTTTAGACACACAACCGATCCGAACAAAATCCTTCTGATTAATTAAATGAACCAAAAGTCCCAACAAAATTTGGTGACCTTCCGACGTGAGTGAACATGCAACAAGAGTGACGAACTTGTTGACGTACTTCAGACCAACAAAATTGGTAACCTCGACGTTTCAAGCAAACAACACCAACAAAATTGATAAACAGACGTGCGTAACAAAGATTGGTAACCCCGGTAACGGATAAAGTATTTCAACACTACAGATGGCAGAACCAACAACCGTATCAGAAACAGCCATCAAACTCGAGATGCCCGCCTTCAATGCAAATGTGCAAACGTGGTTCCTTCAGCTTGATGCGATATTCCAAGCTAGGCGCATAACTTCTCAGCAGTCAAAATTTGCGGCAGTCGTGGAGAAGCTACCGGCAGAAATAGCAGCCGAAGTAGCTGATATACTAACTTCAGTCCCAGTTGAAAAACCATACGAAATCCTAAAAGAAGCGATATTGCATAGATCAGGTTTTTCGGAGGAGAAAAGAATACGTGAACTCCTGTCCAATGTCACAACCGAAGATGCCAAACCTTCACAGTTACTTCGAAGGATGCAGCAGTTATTAGGCGAAAATGACATATCGACCACAGTATTCAAACAAATGTGGCTGGACAAGCTACCGCCAGAGGTTGTACGAATTCTAGCCGCATTAGCAGAAGATGTAGACATCCAGAAACTAGCGATAATTGCAGACAAAATAACAGACACAGCGCCAATTAAACACATATCCGCAACGAACACACGAGATGGCCTCATGCCAGACATAGACCGGCAAATTCAAAAGTTATCAACAGAGTTGCAAGATATATCTATACAGCTGCGCGAACTACAAAATGCTCATCTAAGCCGACATGATAATCAATATACCAAGCGAAATAAACAACGCTGGAGATCAAATTCTCGACACAGATACAAACGACAACGAAACGAATACCAAAATGAAAAAATGTTGGTATCATGAAATTTTTGGCGCGCAAGCTAACAAGTGCAGACAACCATGTGCGTATAAGAAATCACCAACCGCCAAACAGCAGGGAAACGGACATCCTGGCACCCAGTAGAGACGTTGGATGCCAGGCAACTCAAGACTAACCGTCTCTTCTATATTTACGATAAATCCAGCGGATTAAACTTTTTTGGTAGACACCGGTGCCCAAATCAGTGTTATACCACAGACGAAGTGCAGCAAACAACTTCTAATAAAAAACACAACATTAAAACTACAAGCCGCGAATGGCACGCCTATTGCTACTTATGGTGAAAAAGACCCTGACTTTAGACATAGGTCTAAGGAGAGATCTAACGTGGACATTCATAATTGCTGATGTTTCGATGCCCATACTAGGAGCGGACTTCCTAACACATTATGCATTATCAGTAGAACTAGCATCCCAAACACTAACTGACACCAATACAAATATAAAACGCTGCGGTTTCATCTCTAAACATTCAACGATTGGACTGACGAATATTATACCAATAGCTAATGGCTACGGTGAGATAATACGTCAGTATCAGACACTGTTAACACCGTCGTCACGAAATGAACCCGTTAGACATCATGCTAAACACAGCATTAAAACAACTGGTTTCCCAGTTTATTCCCAACCACGTAGGCTTCATCCCGCCAAATTGAAAATCGCAAGAGATGAGTTCGACAATATGCTCAGACTGGGAATAATACGCCCTTCAAAAAGCCCTTATGCCAGCCCTCTACACATGGTTACAAAAAGCAGATTCAGTCAGTTGGCGTCCATGCGGAGATTATAGGTTGTTGAACGCCCAGACCATTCCGGACAAATATCCTATCCCGCACATAAAAGATTTTGCGCTATCATTAGAAGGTGCTACAGTCTTCACTAAACTAGACCTCAAAAAGGCTTACTATCAGATACCAATCGAGGAAGACGACATACAAAAGACTGCGATCACCACTCCATTCGGACTATTTGAATTCACAAGAATGCCCTTTGGTTTACGAAACGCCGCACAGTCATTCCAAAGATTAATAGACGAGGTGTTACGTGGTATGCCGTACACATACGCGTATATTGACGATGTTTTAATTGCAAGTAAATCACATGTTGAACACAAGGAACATTTGCATGCAGTTCTAAAACGTTTACAACATTATGGTTTAAAATTAAACATTGACAAATGTATATTTGCGGTACCACAGCTAACCTTTCTTGGACATGTAATAGACCAACAAGGATTGTCTCCCTTGGATCACAAGATCAAAGCAATAACAAATTATCCCACACCTTCCACAATGAAGCAATTACGGAGATTCTTAGGAATGATAAACTACTACCGACAATTCATACCGAACTGTGCAACTATAATATTGCCATTAACAGACATGCTATCGCAACGAAAGAAAAAGAACTCGCAAATCGTACTATCGAAAGACGAATTAAAATCTTTTAACGATGCAAAAGACGCGTTGCAAAAATGTACAAAATTGTCGTATATTAATCCATCCGAAAATTCCAAACTAACACTCACGACAGATGCATCGGCTGACACAATTGGAGCAGTACTACACCAGATTACTAACAATGTAGAGAAACCACTATCATTTTTCTCGATAAAGTTAAACACTACCCAGAGGAAATATAGTACGTTCTCAAGAGAATTATTGGCAGTATACCTAGCAATACGACATTTTAGACACATTCTAGAAGGAAGAATTTTCGTAGTCTTCACCGACCATAAACCACTTACATATGCATTACATGCAAAGGCTGACAAATTAAATCCACGAGACCTAAGACATTTAGATTACATCAGCCAGTACACAGCAGATATCCGATACGTAAAAGGTCAGAATAACACAGTAGCGGACGCATTGTCCAGAACTACGCTCAACGCACTACAATCACAACCACTAAACTTTGACACTCTCGCTGAGGAACAAGCAAACGACAACGAATTACCGTCTGTACAAAAAGATACCTCACTTCAAATTGAAAAAAAGACCTTTACCCTTTACTAATGAACTCGTATTGTGACGTTTCCACAGGTAATCCTCGACAGTACTTACCTTTGTCACGAAGAAAATCAATTTTCGATCATTTCCATTCGCCAGCTCACCCCTGGAGCGAAGGCTACGCTGCGGACCATAGCTGACAGATACGTCTGGCCCGGTATGTCTTCGGACGTGAAACAGTGGTCTCGCACGTGCCAACGTTGCCAGGCAACGAAAATACACCGACATACCAAAGCACCATCGTCGACCTTCGCGACACCAGATGGACGATTTACGCACATACACGCAGACTTAGTCGGTCCACTCGAAAAAATTAATGGACACGAGTACATTCTAACGATCATTGACCGCTTTACGCGATGGCCAGTTGCGATACCACTAACATCAATAACGGCAGAAACAGTGGCTAACGCAATTTTCAACAACTGGATTTCTATATTTGGATGCCCTGCAGTTATCACAACTGACAGAGGTCCCCAATTTCAATCAACGCTATTCAACGAATTTGTCAACATTTTAGGCATAAAACACATCTCTACCACCGCATACCACCCATGCAGCAACGGAATAGTGGAGAGATTCCATAGACAGCTCAAGTACGCATTAACAGCGTCTACCAGTGCTCGTACGTGGGTAGATAAGCTACCATTTGTGATGCTTGCGCTGCGAAATACAATAAAACTGGATCTCAAATGCACCAGTGCAGAATTAGTTTTGGGAAAGCAACAACGCTGCCTGGACAGATATTTCACAACGAGACGACATCTACACCAACGAATTACTTTGTGGCAGACCTAAAAAAGAAGATGATGGACGTTTATATACACCCACGAGAGCGTATAAAAAACCTTTCTACGTGCCAGCAGATCTACATTCAGCAGAATATGTTTTCCTGAGGCGCGACACTGTACGGAAACCATTAACGCCCAACCACACAGGTCCACACCTGGTAATATCTAAAACACCCAAATTCTTCATAATTGATATCGCCGCTAAACAGAACACCGTCAGTATAGACCGTCTCAAACCAGCATATCTGCAATCCGACGACACAGATCGAACAATAACAAAACCGACGACAACAGAAAAACAGAAACGCAAACAACTACTGATACGACCGAATCAACACAGTCTACCCGTACAAAATCAGGAAGGAATGTTCACTGGCCAACCAAGTACCGAACCTACATTACATATTAATGCTCATTCGCCAAGGCATTAATCTGGGGGGAGGTATTGTGGACTCTTCTAATTTTCTAACCTTCTCCAACCTTAAAAAAAGCATAATCCATATTATACGCCTACGCGCAGATAACGCTCAACCAATAAAAATGCAAAGAATCGAATCAAGCAATTCTATTGGTAGATCGCCTCCCAAAGCAAGAATTGCGCCAAAATATCTTGAGCCACTTTCGAAAACCCAAAAGGTTATAAAAAGGAGAAAAGACAACCCCAGTCAGTCAGTCCAGCTCACTTTTTTGAGCGACTGCACGGTTCAACTCTCTGTCTCCGGACGGAGGAACCCGAAGGAGGCTACGCCGAAGGGCGAAGTCTCTCCTTCGGGGAGGTTCGCTCGGCCCTGAACCCGTTTATACGGGTTCAAATGGGCTATTTTTGGCTGAGCCTAATGGCTCGGGAATGACCACATTAAAAAAGGCCGTGTGCCGCATGACACCCTCGTGGGTGGGTGACTGAATATCTCAGTCCAGCTCACTTTCTGAGCGACTGCACGGTTCAACTCTCTGTCTCCGGACGGAGAGGAACCCGAAGGAGGCTACGCCGAAGGGCGAAGTCTCCTTCGGGAGGTTAACCGGCCCTGAACCCGTTTATACGGGTTCAAATGGGCTATTTTTTGGCTGAGCCTAATGGCTCGGGAATGCCCACATTAAAAAGGCCTTGTGCCGCATGACACCCTCGTGGGTGGGTGACTGAATATCTCAGTCCAGCTCACTTTTTGAGCGACTGCACGGTTCAACTCTCTGTCTCCGGACGGAGGAACCCGAAGGAGGCTACGCCGAAGGGCGAAGTCTCCTTCGGGGGGAGGTTAAACCGGCCCTGAGCCCGTTTATGCGGGTTCAAATGGGCTATTTTTTTGGCTGAGCCTAATGGCTCGGGAATGCCCACATTAAAAAAGGCCTTGTGCCGCATGACACCCTCGTGGGTGGGTGACTGAATATCTCAGTCCAGCTCACTTTTTGAGCGACTGCACGGTTCAACTCTCTGTCTCCGGACGGAGAGGAACCCGAAGGAGGCTACGCCGAAGGGCGAAGTCTCCTTCGGGAGGTTAATCAGCCCTGAACCCGTTTATACGGGTTCAAATGGGCTATTTTTGGCTGAGCCTAATGGCTCGGGAATGCCCTGAACATTAAAAAAAGGCCTTGTGCCGCATGACACCCTCGTGGGTGGGTGACTGAATATCTCAGTCTAGCGAACTCGCCGATCGATTGCCTAATTAATCCACGACATTCAAAAACAGAATTTTACCGCGCATTTTTGACGAACTTCAACTGACTCACCTGAAACACTCAACGAACAACTATCGAAACTTTGAACAATATTTCTTATGCACATTGATTTATCCATTACTAAAAATAAGAAATACGAATCACGAAAACAAACACAGACACGTTCAAAGGTAGACTACTTTAGCAAACTTTACCAAAAAACTCTTATTATATATTTCAACACAAACACAAAATAACAAACATAACGACACAGAGACATCCAACATTTCAGCAACATATACAATTAACGCACGCAACAATACAAATATTAACCTTGTTTGTAAATATGTAATTGTATATAAAAGTTTTATTTGTTTCGATCTATAAATGTCTCGTTTTTACTTTGTTTGAAATCTCATGTTTGTTATATATTTGTTTGGGACAGGGTTTAGACACACAACCGATCCGAACAAAATCCTTCTGATTAATTAAATGAACCAAAAGTCCCAACATGTGGATTTGTTCTGTGATCGGCTTTTTTCTTCTTTTTTTTTTTTTAAATTGGACAAGTTATTCTAGTGTTTTAAATGATGTAAAATTTGTGTTCTACAAGTCTATCACGCCAACCCCCAAGATCTTGCATCAAGGTTGGAATGTCATTAGGGAGGCATTCTGTGTCATAAAATAACTGGTCAATGTAGGTGGCTGCTAGGCGACCGACCCATACTCCATGGCTAGATGTCCAGAACAGTAGATCACTCGAGTTCTTGTTTTGCTTGCCAATAGTGTTCTGCAAAGCGCATTCTGCATTCGCGTATTGTAGAAATATCGGGGATGGGCCCACAGAGCTGTCATTTAGTCGGATGTTGTCTCCTGGAAATGTTGAGTATAGCTCTCAGCTGTAGGTAACTTAGTTAATATCCAGGTAGTAGCACCATACACATCGACTCGACATTGACGCGAAAGAAGAGGACCGGGGGGGTGAGATGAAAAACAAACAAACAAAAAAAAAAAAACGAAAACAAACAAACAAAAAAAAACGTGCGTTTAAATTTCCTGCTAGAAGACGGTCTAGATACAAGAGAATGTTGGACTTGAATTAAGTCCAACTGAAGATAAAGACAAACAAACAAGACCGATATATATATATATAAACAAATATATGTATTAAACAAAACAATTACAAAGCACATAGACAGTTAACATTGTGTTTGTGTATGAACATCTGTATTTGTTCTTTGGTGAATGTTCGTAGTTTGAAAAAGTTCGTAAGAATTCGTACGTACGTGAATGCTTGAAATATTTTTTAACGTCTGATCGTCATGGTCGAGACG